CCTGCCCTGTCCTGCTGGCTGGTGCCTGGCTACCCTGCCCTGTCCTGCTGGCTGGTGCCTGGCTACCCTGCCCTGGCCATGTGTTGCAGATGGCCCTAGACCATGCCCCTTCCGGAAGCCTCCCTGAGTGGCACTTTGGTCACCCAGGGAAAGTGTGTGGGAATGGAGTGCCAGGTTGCACGTGATCTGTAAATGGGTCCGATCCCCTGCCAGACTTGCCTAAGTCTCTTGTAAGCCTTCTTCCTTTCGGGCCGCAGCCCTGGCAAGCACACTTTCCTTTGCATCCTGGGAATGGAGGCTGAGTGGCTCCGATTGTAGTTGTGCTGTGCTCAGGTTTCTGTTCCTGCCTCTTTGGGAAGCAAAAATGGACCCAAGATTCGTGTGTCTTCACTGCGTGTTTTCTACCGCAGCTCCCGACTACGACAAAAGCCAGTGGCTGAATGAGAAGTTCAAGCTGGGCCTGGACTTTCCCAATGTAGGTGGGGGCTGGGGTGGGGACCGGGAAAAGTAGTCTTCCGTATGTCATCCCAGTAGAAATGGGCTGGGATCAGATCTCCTGTGGAGCCCTTCTCTTGCTTGATTGTATATTCTGGCTTTCTACCCTCCTCCTTCACTTTTCCTGCAGCCCATTTGATATACGGAAACTTCCAAATGACACAGGGAGAAAAACTGATATCTAATTTAAAAGGTACCTGGGGTGAGTTTTTGTTCTCTAAAACCGAAGAATGAATTTTAGGAACAAATGGAGATTATGAGCACAATGTATTTATTGAAGGAGAAAGCTCCTGTCTGAGAGAGGGCCAGGAGGGGGGCTCTTCCCATGCAGGTTGTCCCCAGGAAGTTATCTCTTCCAGGGATTTTTATAGAGGAAAATCATGTGGTGAGATGGGTCTAAGGTGGTGGAGACGACATGGGAACTAGCTTAGATGGGCATGAGGTGGGACAAATCTATGGTCATCCAATGAGATTACAAACCCATTGCTCAGGTAAAAGTGATTAAATCCAGTACCAAATGGGGAAGCCAGTCACGTAGCAAGCAGGATAGGGTCTCTTCCTGTTGGGGGTTGGGCTAGGGACTCATTTGGGCTCTTTTAAGGTGATTGATCCTATTTAGGATATCAATCCCTGATACCCATCTCTAGGGAAGTATGTACCTGTGTTTCCTCTTTTGTCTTGGTCTTCAGGTGTGGCCCATGTGGGAGTGTCTGTCTCTTCCCAGTTGTAAAGTCACCTTGTCTTCCATCTTGTCTCCTTGCGGGCCTGACCCTGTCTAACTGCCTATAATAGTTCTATCTAATTCAGCTGCCTATAATACATTTACGTAGGCTGGTGCTGGCAAGCACCCTGAGGGCCAGGTCTTAGGACAGCCTTAAGTCACAGAAGGGGTGCTTGAACCTAGAATCCCACCTGCCCTTCCTGCTTGTCCATGCAGCTGCCCT